GCTGTAACAGCGGCACGCACACAGGAAGACTACACAGGATAACACCTATACAGTGTGGAAACAAGAACTAGCCGCTGCAGCACTTTAGACGTAGGGCGAGTAACCCTAACAATTTTAAATTTAAAATTTAGAGAAAAATGAAAAAATTTAAAAAGATTTTAAAATTAGAACTAAAGATTTTATAGTGCTACTACAGGAACGTCAAAATTAATGTGTGTAAAATAATCTACAAACCAGACAGATATCAACGAAGTAGATGTTGATAATAACAAGGAAAGTGTTTTAAATGTTAAATTTTGGGCTGGGTGCAGTGTGACAGCATCGTGAGTGTTATACACCTGATGATGGCCGTCTGAGGCCGAAACATGTAGTGTAGAGGAGCAAGATCAAGGACACATAATATATTGTTTGCACTTGGGACAGAATCTGTATCATTATATCATTTCTGTGTTTTTCCTCATGGTATCATGCAAACAGTGTAAAATGTACTAAATGTTGTGTTGAAGTCACTCTGAACTCTGCTGTATAATCAGTGAGATGTATTATTTAAGACCTTTTTTTTTTAGAACTTGTCTTTTAAAATGGATCTGGGAGCTACTGGTAGAATGGCAATGATTGAGCTGATCCTCAAGAGTGCTAATTGAGAGCTGATGTGATGTATGATTTAGATATTTTGGTAAATGGTTGCTGCTTACATCTGTTGCCATGTAGGACTTCAGGATGACACGTTGAATGGCATCAATGCTGCCCCAAGCCAACAAGCTATGCATCTGTCATTTTTATATTATTGAGGACTAACATATAGGCCACCCGTGCCAAAGCTCAAGTGGTTAGTCACTGGTTTCCCGTTGTGGTTGCCCGGGTTCGAGCGCAGGTCCAGTCATGTGGGATTTGTGGTGGACAAAATGGCATTGGGGAATGATTTCTCTGAGTACTTTGGTTCCCCTGCCAATGTTCATTCCACTGATTGCACCACAATCACCCTCATCTATCATCTGGGGCTGGTACAGTAGGCCAGAAGTGGCCACAGTACCAAGTGGACTTAGTCCCACCCCATGAATGCAAAAAATATAGGCCCTTGAAATTCCGCCAGGACATAAACACTTCTGATTTGTGTTCAGGAAATGCTTGATGTGACTGGGCCACTGCCTGTCATGACTGAAATCTTCTTGTAGTTCTCCTTATTTTCTATAGGCCAGGGTAGTACCTCAGATTAGGCCACAGCCACTTCCATATCATTTATAATTCATTATTTGCTAATCATAATAATTTTATAATTTTAAGGTGTTCTGTTATATGATAATGACATTTTACTGTGTGCTGTTATCTCTCTGTTGCAGGTACCTGCATTACCTGAGCCATGTGCTTCACACTCCAGCACTGGAGCCACATTTCAAACCTGTCACATTGATCTCGGTCACTCTCCAGCCAGTACCTCTTTTCACCAAAGTCAGGTAAGACTATTACAGATTATTGTAACCGAACACAGTTACAGAGTTTTGTAAAAGCTTCTACACTGTGGTCACAGGATTTGCAACATGTTTCAAAATTGGGTCTTGTTATGTCTTAACAGAAATTTCACCAATAAAATACTTAGAATTAAAAGAACTGTGTAGTAGAGTACAAACTGGGAGGTTGCAGATTCAATTTGTGATGGACTTTTCAGTTGACCTAATCCTTCCAGCTGCTCTATGGCCCTAGGGTCGACTCAGCCTATAACAGAAATGAGTATCAAGTAATGTTATATTTTAGCGTCCTGTTGCACTGATTTAAGTTCATGATTTGTTTAATCCGTCTTGCAGTGCGTACACTTATCTATCTTCTTCTCTCACTCTCACTACATGTTTCGGCATAAAAATGCCATCTTCAGGTGCTACTCAATTCACGTCAAACTAGTACATTGTATGCCTTGTCTTCACTTTAAAATAACTAAAATATATGTCCATCATATATATTGACAAATGTCAATCGTAAAAATATTAAAACTGTTCAGGATTCCCGATCGCTACGTCGTATCTTATTACGCCAGTCATGCTCATCCTACTCTGTTGGAGCTCTTCTTCCCTATCGTGTGTATCTGCAACGTGAATTTGTATTCATTAATACTGTGTTCCGTATTTTATCTATTACTTGTGGTATTATAACTTTTAATAATACTCACTGTGTTTCTGTTGCGTCTTGTTCTCGCGACTGCGTGCGTTATGCTGTTGGGTCTGCTGGGTGTGTGTGTGTGTGTGTGTTCTGTCTTCGTTTTGAGTGAGTTATGATGTTGTTGGCGTAGATGTGGTGGGGGTACATACATGCAGAACACATACATGACATAAGACACAATAACAGCAATACAGGATACTCAGAACATATATTAAACACAGGACATGCATATGGCACTATAGAAAACACTATGGATATCATAGCAATAGGTAGGAAGGGGCAGTACTTGAACACATTAGAGAACTACCATATATATAGAACGACAAAGAAAAACACACACATGAATAACATAAACAAAGAAATATATAACCCAATATACCACGAATTAAACACTATCTACACAGAACAACATAACAACACCCCACCCCCTACCCCCACCACATCTACGCCAACAACATCATAACTCACTCAAAACGAAGACAGAAAACACACACACACACACATACCCAGCAGACCCAACAGCATAACGCACGCAGTCGCGAGAACAAGACGCAACAGAAACACAGTGAGTATTATTAAAAGTTATAATACCACAAGTAATAGATAAAATACGGAACACAGTATTAATGAATACAAATTCACGTTGCAGATACACACGATAGGGAAGAAGAGCTCCAACAGAGTAGGATGAGCATGACTGGCGTAATAAGATACGACGTAGCGATCGGGAATCCTGAACAGTTTTAATATTTTTACGATTGACATTTGTCAATATATATGATGGACATATATTTTAGTTATTTTAAAGTGAAGACAAGGCATACAATGTACTAGTTTGACGTGAATTGAGTAGCACCTGAAGATGGCATTTTTATGCCGAAACATGTAGTGAGAGTGAGAGAAGAAGATAGATAAGTGTACGCACTGCAAGACGGATTAAACAAATCATGGAGTATCAAGTAACTTCCTGGGGGTAAAGAGTGGCCAGCATGTAAGGCTGACAACCTAACTGCCAGCTGTGAGCCTATCATCTAGAAAATGTAAAGCCCCTCTCACAACCCTATGGGCTTCCACAGCCTGTTACAGGGATAACCTCACCTTTTATTATAGTAGGCTAAGGTAAAGTTTTCCCCATTCTTGAATAGTAACCGCCATGCCGTGAAGATATACAGAGGAGTGGAGATATAGCACTGGATGGAGGTTAGTGGTGAGCTTCACACCCTCTCTACTTTAACCCAGGAGATAGACCCCCAGTGCCCATTAGACAAGAGGGTGAGTCAGCCTCAGAGCCAATCCGGATGCTGGGGCGATAGAAGAATAATTTCATGCCCCTCCCAAGAATCGGACCATAGGCGTCCATCACATTGCCCACGGCTATACTGACCAAACTATCTCAGTTCCTCGTCCTTGTATACTGCACTTGGAATTATTCTGTCAATTCTTGTATATTTGCACTTTGTTAATGGCTTCCCCATATGTAACAACAATATTGTATCGAGATCATGGTCCGTTAGGATGTGACGCCATGCGGTTTTTAGTAGATGGGTACTAATATATCAGAGGGAACTGCTGTCTCAGTCTGCAGTTAGAAGATTTGGTAGCAAGTTCCCGGATACCACACTGAAGGGCATCACATCCAAGGAGGCAGACCACCTTCTTGATGCTGACTGCTTTGTGATCCTCAGAAGTGAAGTGCAATGTTACTGAGGAATGAAAGTCACTTAACTTCTTTTAGAAGTTTGTTGGTTTATATCTCTTCCGAGCATGTCCTGGCATCTGTTCATCGAGACCAGAACCCATTTCTGGGATGAGAGCCCGCATAGGGCAGATTCTCTCGTCCCCAGTGATGGGTAGTTACAAGAATTATGGGCAGCAAAGGGGATGTACAGCTCGGTGTAGTCTCATAGTTAGTGGGTTGTCCGGGAACCGGTGTTTTTCACGTGGGATCAAACTGTGCACTCCCTGACTGAGAGTCCAGTGTCATACCCTGAGATCACCAGTCACCACTCACAGGCTGTGAGATAAATTATTCTGTGTACAGGAGCCTGTAATGTGAGTATATACATAAGGGTTAAAATTCTGCAAAGGATTACAATGTTTAAAAAGTTGCCTACAATAAATAAGTTATGTGATGTAATATATATAAATTTTAGAGTATACTGGAAGTCAGTTATTATTGCCCTTCCTCCTATAGACCCCAAGAAACCTTTGTGGAAGTCTACCATATACAGAAAACTGTTTATATTTACTGCCATAATGCACGCACAGTTATACTGGACCGTATGTGTTTCAGGGATGGTTGCCGACCTTATGTAGAAGTGTACGAAGGGGAAGACAGGGTCCTGTCAACACTTCAGGAGTATGAAAGGATGCGTCTGTTTAACATTACAGAAGGGAAGGTAAATCGTGTTCTCAGAAAGAGAATTTTTTATTGACCTTTCTGTTTGTTTGCTAAAATATTAAATGAAATAGAAAAACCACTGGGAAATGTAACTTTGCAGAAGGGCTGTATACAGAGGGGTCTAAACTTATTTTGTGTATGTAGACTCTTAGGAACAGATATAATGGATATCATTTATTTCTTGGGCATAAATTTGTTTTATTGGTGCAGTGTGTAGAATCGGTTACAGATGTAATCTTACATGACATTTCGTTATTTAGTGGTGCTGTGCCCATGATTTGTTTTTGAGTAGCAGCAAAGTTACAACCTAATTGTGAATCATGTCAGCCGTTACTATAACAAGTATCTGAGCTCTGCTGTTCTAAATAATTCCATTCTAAGTTGTGTTATACTTATTATGCTAAGGAATGACCTTCTGTACTATCAGTCTGTAATAAGTAGGATTTCTGCACTCATTTTTTTTCAGTTTATCATTGATTTCAGTGGGCCATACTCTGTTAACTGTGAAATTAATTTTTTTTTTTAATTCGCTTAGTGGGGGGTGCAGTCCAGCTGGGTCCACTTAGCACAGCAGCCACTGATTGGCTTATTGTAGCCTGCCCCGGGTCATTGTGGTGATGGAGAATTTGGTGGAATGAAGATTGGCAAGGGAAACCGAAGTACTCGGAGAAAACCTGCCCCAATGCCACTTTGTCCACCACAAATCCCACTTGACCAGATCCGGGATCGAACCCGGACCGCCGCAGTGGGAAGCCAGCGACTAACTGCTTGAGCTATGGCACGGCCCCAAAATAATATTGTAACAAAATTTAAAAAGGAATAGGCAGATAATTCATAACAGCTGCACATGACACAATAAGAGGAACTGCCAGTCGCTACAGGACCCATGGGCACATAGATGAGGATATATCCCAAAAATCAGACTTAAGGATGAAACCACAGCAGTTTCATCAGCAATTTTAGAGACACCTGAAGATGGCCGATATTGGTCAAAACATGTAGTGAGTATACATTAGTGACGTAGGAGAGATTTTAACAATATAAACAGGCAGGGGAGCTGGCATAGTACAGTTGGTATAGCAACTGGCTATGGGTTGGACGACCAAGGGGCCAGAGTTTGAGTCCTAGTAGGTCAAGAATTTTCTTTTCTCCACGTCGTCCAGACCCTTTCTGGGGCCCACCTAGGCTCCTATCCAATGGGTTATGGGGGCTCTTTCCCTCGGGTTAAGGTAGCTGGGATGTGAAGCTGACGACTCACCTCCAACTAGTGCTGAGTTCAAGAAAATGTAGATCTATACATCCATTCCCCCATATACAGTCATAGCATGGTGTTCAGTTAGGTAAAGGTTTTGAAAAGCAAGTTGCATGTCTGATGGCTAACAACTAACAGGAAGAAATAGGCAGATAACACAAAACTAATGGGACAAAAAGGAAGAGAAAATTTTGACTTTAGAAATGCCGTTCACCCTTTCAGTGGAAAGAGCATAATCATTTTTGGCCACAAATTTACATGGACATTTAAGTACATAGAAGTAGATATATTAATTTAGCAATCATGAATCGTACTGTAAAACTTGACACACAACAGGTGATGAGATTCAGGCTGTGTTCCAGGTGACACTCCCTTTGAATGTGACTGTCCTGGGAGACATCACGCTAGTGGCCTATCATGCACGCAACACGCTTGGAGGAGTCATGACTTCTGGGAGGCCAACAGGAATCAAGATCGCGCAGATCCAGTTTCATACAGGCTTTATAGCTGAGGAGGAGACTAGTCTCAGGTACACAAAGTAAGTATTGCGGCTCTGCACAACATCTGTATTTACATTATGTTCTCTTTGTAATTTGTATATTAAGTTTAGTAATTGTGTTTGTTTCTTATACATTTATACCCTCAGTCACCTTTATGTGTGAACTGAACATCATGTGCTGCGTATTTGGGGTGTCCCAGATTCAGATCTCAGCAGAAGACTGGCTCTCCTCATTGAGGTTTCTTTTGCTTGTTCTCAGTCCTTTCAAGAAAATTCTGGGTTAGTACTTAAATTAGCCAATGATTGCTTTCTTCTATAGCCTTTCAAATTCATTATCATTAATCACCCTTTCTTTTTTTTTAGGGGGGTGTTATATAACAACACTTTCAATATCAAGATGAGCCGGGATAGCATAGTCGGTGTAGCAACTGGCTATAGGCTGGACCACCAAAGGGTCAGAATTCGAGTCCCAGTGGGGGCAAAAATTTTTGCTTCTCCATGTCGTTCAGACCAACTCTGGGGCCCACCAAGCCTCCTGTCCAATGGGTACTGAAGGCTCTTTCCCCAAGAGTAAAACAGTCAAGGCGTAAAGCTGACCACTCACCTCCAACTAGTGCCAAGGTCAAGAAAACTAGGGACTATACAGTCACTCCCCCACACATCTTCATGGTGTAGTGCTTAATTAGTTAAGCACAGGGACAACTTTGCATTATCTTTTTTTAATATCAAGAATTTAAGGAAGGCATCAGATAACTAATTAATGATGGGTTGGAAAGGATTTCAAAGGAAGTGGTCATGGCTGAATTGGAGTACTATCCCAGCATCTGCTTCGAAATACTGAGGAAGCCCACATAAAGCCATACTGTGAATAGGTATTGTCCTGGTTAAGATTCGAACTGAATGCCTACTGAATACAAGTCCAGAACATTACCTCTAGACTAACGTGTTCACTTTTAATCTTTTTACCACTGAGATTTATATAATCAAAGCTACTGAGAGCATAATTGAGTAAACCATAAATAAAAATTCATGATCTTGCCTTTGGTTTTAAGTAGGTGTGAAGCTTTGTCTGTTATTCTGAAGGAATGACAGATTGAGAAATATGTACTGAGGAAAATATATCGGAAACTTCCCAGACTAGGTCAAAAAAGAAATGATGACTTAACTTATTCAATTTTTGCTCCTATCTTCGGAATGTATACAATGATCCCATAATTTTTTCCATTATTCAAAAGCACCATGGAAATAAATTTCCTTACTGTTGTCGAGTACCGCTTGCAGTTCCCCTTGGATGTCAGACACTGTTTCAAAATGCTGTCCCTTCAGTTTCATTTTCAAATTTGGGAAACGAAGCAAAATCACAGGAGGCTAAGTTTAGCAAGTAAGGAGGATGAGGAATGATAACTGTGTTGTTAGTCACCTATTCTGTGGTTCTCAGGGATATATAGGCAGGCGCGTTGTCGTAAGGAGCCAGTTGTGGTTGTGCCAAAGTTCCGGTCTTTTTCATTGCACATTTCCTCTCAGGTGTCTCAAAACATAACAGTAAAAGTCAGAGTTGACTGTAGTGTTAGGAGGAACAAATTCACGGTGAACAGTCCCCTATAAAAAAAATGAGCATGCTCTTTGTTGAACTGCGGATGTGCCGCACATTTTTTTCTCTTGGTGATTTTGGGCTCTTGCACTCTTGTGAGTGTTGCTTTGTTTCTGGATCATGGCTGTAAATCCATCTTCTGTCACCCATTACGATCCTGGAGATAAAAGTTGGATCCTTGTTAGCCTTCTCTCATAGCTCAAAACACACGTTTTCACACCTCTGCTTTTGATCACTTGTCAAGATTCAGTGAACAAACTTTATGGCAGTGCAGCGCATGTTCAGATTTTCTGTTAAGCTCTCCTGGCAAACTCCATAACTGTTCCCAGCAGTGTCTGCGAGCTCATGGATTGTTAGGTGACAGTCTTCTTGGATGAGTCCTTGAATTATTTCATCATTGTCCTTTTGCTGATGCTTGGTAGCCCTGAATGTTCATCTTAAACTGACACTCAACCAGCCTTGAAACATGAATGACATTCAAAAACCTCTGTCCGGCTTAAAAAATGTTCTCCAGACGTGTTCCTCGATTTTTGCCATCCATCGTATACAAAATGGAACACAAAGTCAAGAAAATACTCATGTAAAAACAATGCATGTTTACAGCACAGTGTCCTGTGGCAGACTGATACAATAGGCTTGCAGAAGTGTGACCTCTCATCTTCTTCTACTGAGGCAGTTACAACAATAACAGTCCAGGACCTTTCCGATACCACCTCATAAACGCGAAGTAATACCAATGCTTTACATAAATATAGACCTGGCAGGCTGGTTCATATGGCAATTTTTCTGACTTTTGCCTGATTCAAACTTGAGCTGGATCACCAGCTATCCTGTACTGATTTTTTTGTGGTTTTCTTCAGTCCCTCCAGGCAAATAGCAGGATAGCACCTGTAATTAGGCTCAGACCGATTCCTTCCATGTCCTTTCCAATTCATTATGTGCAACTGATTATAGCATTTAGTGCTATAATCTGAGGTGCAGTGTCATTAAATAAACCCTAAATGAATATATAAACATGTAATGTAGTTAACAAACTTGGCAAATTGAACAAATTGCAATGAAAATAGATTTATATGTAATTGTAAACGTAGAAGGTCATGTACGGTTTTGGAGGTGTTAATTGAAGGTCTTCACATAATACGCATTTTCATTGTTAATTTTCACAGGCCTGTCATAAATGCATTAATGCTTTCTCTGTCTGCCAGCAGTCTGTGTTTAAATAACTGCACAGTAGGTCTGGTATAATTACAAGAGGCGGTTTCTTGTGTTATCAATCTTTGTCTGCGCTACAATAGAAAAAATTATTTCTCTTTCTGTTTTTTACGTGTATATAGTCATGCATTGGTTCGTGTTTGAGATTTAGACAAATTATTAATATCTGATTTTGGGCTTTCATTATGGTGAACTGTTGATGTTAATTCAACTCAAGGGTGTCTACAGCCTGTGAATGTAGGTAGTGCTGCTGATGTTTCAGAGATAAATGCTGCCTCCATCTTCAGGGTCAAGTGTATAGAGTGGGTGAGTTTCTTTGTATAGGTAGGTATATGTTTCAAAACAGTCACCATGGGGGAAGAGGGGCTGATGCAATGTGATTCTATTGAAACGTGAACATACATATACACAGAAACTCAGCCACCCTACACACTTCAGTCCTGAAGATGGAGGCAGCATGCACCACTGAAATATCAGCAACACCACCCACATCCACATGGTTTAAACTTCAAAGAGACGAATTAACTTTAAAATTATTAATTTATTAACTATCTCATTATGACTTCGCTCAAAAGTTCGTCATTTTCCTCACCCATTTCAGTCTTTGAGCTCGCATTCAGCAGCATGCTGTGCTGCTGCATAGGCTATTATGGTTTACATTACAGACATTTAATATGTTACATGTCTACTGAGAAGTTATAGGTGTAGTTACAAAAATTACCAAGCGATTAGTTGCTGGCTTTCCACCGCGGCAGCCTGGGTTCGATCCTGGGTCTGGTCAAGTGGGATTTGTAGTGGACACGGTGGCACTGGGGCAGATTTTCTCTGAATACTTTGGTTTCCTCTGCCAATCTTCATTCCACCAATTGCTCCACAGTCACCCTCACCTATCATCTGGGGCTGGTACAATAGGCCAGAAGTGGCCGCAGTACAAGAGACTTAAGTCCCACCCCACTAGCATTAAAAAAAGCTTAAAGTTACATCACACACTCATGGAGCTGAGCTCTTCTTGAGAAGTTGCCAATTGTGCAGCTACTCAAGAATTTCCCAGCATTTTATGGAAACCAAAAGTTCATTACCATGTTTACAGGAGCCCTCCACTGGTCCCTATCCTGAGCCAGATCAATCCAATGCATACCATCCCATCCTATCGCTCTAAGATCCATTTTAATTTTGTTCACCCACCTATGCCTTGGTCTTCCTTGTGGTCTCTTTCCTTCTGGCTTTCCCACCAATATCCAGTATGCATTCTTCTTCTCCCCCATTCGTGCTACATGCCCTACCCATCTCATTGTCCTTGACTTGATCATTCTAATTATACTTGAAGAAGAGTACAAGTTATGAAGCTCTTCATTATGCAGTTTTCTCCAACTTAAAAGTTACATAAGTAATTAAATTCATGAAGAAATTAAGAGCACATTAAATTTGAAGGATCCTATTCCTGCTGCCTTTTAGTTCAGAACCTTGTGTCTTCACATCTGCTGTCCAGATTAAAATGTACAAAACTATGATTTTGCATGTAGTTTTGTATGGGTGTGAAACTTTGGTCTGTCATGTTAAGGGAGGAACATGGACTGAGGGTGTTTGAGATCAGGGTGCTGAGGGGAATGTTTTGAGCAAAGAAGGATGAAGTAATAATAGGCTAGAGAAAACTGCATAGTGTACACTTCACCAACTATGATTAAAATGATCAAATTGAAGGGGGTGAGATTGGCAGGGCAGTACCACACATGGGAGGGAATAGGAAGGCAGGGGAGAGGGAGTGGGAGGGAGGGATAGACAACAAAAAGACCTAGACATAGATGGATATTAAAATGGATCTTTGGGAAATAGGATGTGAGGGTGTGGATTGGATTCATCTGGCTCACGATAGGGACTAGGCTCTTGTGAACATGGTGGTAACCTTCAGATTCCATAAAATTCTGGAAATTTCTTGAGGGACCAAGCAGCTGTTATCTTCTCAAGAACTGAGCCCCATGGAATTAGTCATGTAGTTTGTAGATTCTAAAGGTTTCTGATGATGATGTATAACATAAACAACTGAATAGGTGTCTTCCCACCCCCCTCAGCTGAGGATGGAAACAGATCCAGTTTCTGAAATGTCATGTTTTCTATTTTCTAGAACACCAGCTGATGGAACAAGTCCAAAAACCCAGGAATTCTGAGTAGTTTGTTTGTGTTAGTTCATTTGTTAGTTATAAGTAATTAAAATTTGAATGCAAACTAAAATTACCCTACCATTTAAGATATTTTGACATGTTGACCCCTACCTCCCCAGCGGTACGTGGCGGTAATGTAACGCTCGCGTTCTTACGGTAATAGGCGAGTTCCCGCCCCGCCACTCCCC